CAGGTTATATAGGTATAGGTCATATAGGCTCCAGTATTGAGCAGCCACCCCAGTACCAGAAGCCAGGTAGATCTATTGTATCTCTTCGAGCCTGCTCGTGACACTGCAAGCGGCAAAAATTGACAAGAATACCCAACACTGGTGTGAATGGGCACGAAGGTGATATGTGCCAATGAGGATAATAGAGCACCCTGAAACAGGGATAGGATGCTGAAAATTAAGGCCTTTTAAATAAATTTGGGTACATCTGCCATTTTTGGTATCTCTGTCGATTTTTCGGTATAGCTGTCATTTTTGGTGCATCTGCCATGTTTAAAGCCCAGTTGACTAGGACTATATCAGTCCTGTCCGAAGTTTTGCTAGCTAGAGCTGTGTCTGTCATGTCCGGAGTCCAGCTAGCTAGGTCTCCATCTGTCATGTCCGGAGCGTCTGATAGCGCGCTGACACGTCAGTGATGTTTGATGGGGTAGCGCTGCCGATTATATGCCAGTGAATCCTTAACGGCATACCTTTTCAAGATTCCCTTTGAAACAGTTCGCAAACTTTCAAGCTTTTCTACCCAATCACTGACCTTTTGACAAATCCCAAAACAATTCGGTCCGATACTGTGAAGGAAAATAATCGTTCCAATGTGTTGCGCTCCGCAGTGCTTCACTTAAATACTGGCCGTCGATAACCGCGCTTTCTTTATTTATTTCCGATCCAGTATCCCCTGGACATTTGTCAGCTATATTTTAGTCCTCGCATTGGTCCAGCCCACGAAGTATGAGATTTAATCCCATTGGAAAGAGTCGAGTCCACGAAATTCTATAATAAGGCATGCTGCCGCTCAGAGCAGCTTCGAACCTCAAGGAGAGGATGTATACCCCTTTGAGTTCAAGCCACAAATATTTGCTTGGTCCTTCGGTTGATGATACGTGAAGACAAAGTCCTCATCAGAATATACATCTAGAGCAAAGACGACGAGCTTTACAGCATTTAACCTGTTCCGGTGAAACGGGTCAAGCTCTGTGGCTAGCTTCGGCACTGGACTGACTGGCTGCGATAGACTGCTACTCGCTAGTGTTTATAGCTTCAAGCCACGGTGAGGGTGCTGACTAGAGGACTTCTAGGATGAGGTGGGCAATCGGTCCTCATATGTGATGGGTAACCGGCTGGGCTGGGACAGCCACGTGTCCAACTTTTCCTCAGAGGTAGGGGCAACCGTCAGATATGTTTCCCAAATCCTGCGAAGTTGGACCAAGGTCTAGCCAAAACGCTCCGCATCCAGTATAAACCATTGGCTAATGGCCCCTCGCACCCTCATGTCCCTTTAGCCCTCTCCTTGTCTGCATTCCTAGGTTGGGTGCAGATTTTGGGAAAATTTTGGGTGTGGGTATCGGTGAAACGTATACGAAATATCTGGTAGCTTTTTCAGGAAATACTACACAGTTTTATTGCTTGCTTTTCTTTCAATCATAGTGAGCTGCATTTACGCTACTTTCACAATCATCAACGCAAAATAATAAGGTTGGTCAACAATTCCTGAAACTCTTCCATAATTTTGAACCAAAGTACTGGAAAATTGCAAACGTGTGTGTACTGGGTGGGTGCAATTGAGAAGAAATGGGTAGCGGATGAATATTGAAACACCCCAATGGGTAGTGGGTGGACTGGGCAGAGGAAGCCATACCGCGAAGGTACGAAGTTTGCACGTGGCTCCACGCAGAAGCAAATTCCAAAGACATGCTTAACTTAGTAAGCGTTCGCTGCTTTGCAACAATAACTAACCAAGGTGCGCTGGCGGTGGCTTTGATCTTTTGCTTTATAAACAAGCCTGGACATTGCAAATTTATGATGCAAACATGACTGAATCACCAGCCGATATTGCACTCAGTGCCACTCATCGTATGATGTGACGGTCACACCTTTACTTTTTCTCCAGCCAATGTCAGACCATGACTGGATTATGAGGAGAATCTGTAATAACTACTCATTATTTCTATGAGTGGCGCAAAGCATGAGTGCTTTTTAAATTTTCCTCGAATACCGTTCGGAGTGCTGCTTTTTGTAGCACAACACTGTTCTGGTGTGTAATTATCACGTGATGATTTTATGCTCAAGAAAATCAAGACCAAAATCAACGCAAGACCAATTACCTTTAAGCCCAGCAAAAAGAGCGTTTCTCTACTTAATAAAGATTGCCTCGTCTATGCTTGAAAATAAACTAGAACTTGGTTCTGAATTCCAGACCCCACACGTAGATAGTGATTCACCTTGACTATCAATATCGTAAAGGGCGCCAGTTTTCAGCCTCTTGTGTGTCATATTGAAGCATACATACACAGATGTCAGCTTTAAGGAAGGATATAAGCATGCGACCGACAAATTTCAATAAATTCATTGGATTAGTAAAATTAGCCTGTAATAACCTGTAAAAATTCATGAAATGAGCTATTGTTATTTGTCGTGATCTTTTCATCACACACCTTACGTTGAGAACATCATGTTTGTGGGAGCTATTGCAACGCGAAACGGCATGAAACGAGAACAACCGAATAGCACTCGGCCGTATGCTCCGTATCGTACGTAGAACGGACAGTATAACAAGTGTCTCTCCAATTTTTTTCAAGAGAAGTTTAGCCCTAGTTCATGTAACGCGATGATAAGGTCACCAAAGCCGCCTAATACCCCGCAACTACCCCAGCTCAAACACTGATAAGCAGCTCATAAAGCGTGAAATATTTTTACTCACATTTTAGTAAGATCATGTATGCACTGCAAACGAAAATAGACCGAAAAAAGTATACATGTTGTGCATGATCGATATAGTTTATACCGTACCATCCCGATGCACTTGTTGCTCCGAAATCAAAGCATCGCAAGATTACGAAAGGAACACAAAGCAGTCTAACGTCGTTATGCATATGGAAACCCTATCTGTTTAGTCAAAGGGGATCACGTTTTCGCGATAAGAAGCAGTAACCCTATCTGAATCGCGGGGACTAAATCAGGTTAGCAAGAGCGGCACGATCATTCCCAGCAATAAAAGAATGACCATAATTAGAGGAAGTGACGCGGCTAATCACGGGGGGAAGTTCCTCCCTCGCACGCTCCGCGATTGCACGGGTGGGCCGCGCGAGGTAGCTGCGCCGGAGGGGAATGGGTACCGAATCGCTCGGGAGGGGACGGCCATTTATCACTGGGGAGCTACGGGACTGAGGGAAGAAAACCAACCAAGAGCACGCGTGACGGTTAAAGCGCTCTTTGAGCGGTGGGCAGACACGGCGCACTCGTCGAATGGGGAACTAGTCGCGCACAGGAGGGGAGGGGCGGAGTGTGAATGCGTGCACTATTCTGGAATAGCCACATTTATGCTTTGACAAACGGGACAAAAATAATAAATTCCTCGCGCGCTGTGGCGTGTCATGGATAAGACATTGCGAAACGATTGTACAGCGCCGCTGACTGTAACACCATCATTATTATTATTTTGCATTACCATCATTATTTTGCTCTCGGAAGTACGGAAGACCTAGAACGTCCAACATAAGATTAATCGCTAGCAGAGTGAATAATGATTAAAAAGAGTGGTTAGACGCGAGGCCCTTTGCCTAACCACGCTTCAACGCATCCATGTTCCTGCGACAGAGAGTAAAAGTACAACATTCCGTCACGGAAAAGGCAGCAAACCGTCACAGGGTGATGAAGCGCAAGCTCGTGACGAAAATCACGCGTTCCTCAGCGGGCCGTGCCGTGATTTCACGGCACACTCGTGACTCGTGACCTACAACAGACCGCCGCGCGTGGCCGGCGCCGCTCGGCACGCGCCTGGGTGACGGGCCGGCCGGGACCGCGGCTACCACGGCGCCGGAGAGCGGGGCATGGGCCACGTGCGGCCGTCCCGCTCGGGCTCAGGAAGGGATAGCTCACGTCCGCGCAGCCCCGGCGGACGGCAGATGGCCCGTGATAACGCGCCTGATGTTTAGTCGGTAGCGTCCGCTTGTAAAACAAGCGGACGCCGGCCAGATAGCATCTAGAGCTACGCGCATTCGCGGGATCGCGGTGCAAGGGTGTCGGAGCGAGAAGCTTGATCCCGTCACGACGGAGCGCATCGAGCGCGAGCGACACCGCTGGAGCGCGTCATGGAGAACGCCTCGTCCCCCTGAGGATAATACGTGATGCGTCAATGTCTGTCCTTTCACCGGCGCTAGTGTTGGTCCCGCCAGGTGCCGCGTGACGGTCATTAGTACCTATAAATAGCTTACGGAGGAGTTACGATGCATATGAGCAGCGACCTGACGACGCCTCGCGCCTCCCATGCAAGGAAAGCGCGAGGGTGTGCTCCAATGGTGTAAACACTAGGCGCTTCAGCGTAAATATCCGTCTCGTAAATGGGCCTCTCCCCTCTAGTTGCATCGCTCGGACCGCAACGATCATCTGTTTAATGCAAATCGCCTCTGCTTAATCGTGCTGAAAATTACGCAAATGGCGGAAGATTATATGAATTGGCGGGCGGTATGCTAGGCATTCCTGCGATGGGTCTCATTAGCTCAGCCACAGACCCGCCTCTCAGCACTTTCGTGACGAATGTTCAGTCCCTCAGACGGGCAAAATTTCGCATGTGGCAGGGCTGTGCGATATTTCAGTTTGATGTCACGATTGAGCGCCAACAACGACGTGAAAAGAGCTGTTTGAGCCCAGCCGTCACGTGACCGCTGTTTAAGCGCCAGCACAGCACATCAAAGGAGATGTTATCATCTGAGGAACTGCGGACGTCACTCAGCTCATATCTCGCCCCGTAACACTTCCACAGCCGCGTGACGTGTTTCCCGGCGGGCCGTGCCTGCCAATGAAAGCCGGCGCGCTGTCCAGGGCGCTCTCCGCCGTCACGTCCACAGCCTCTGGCCTGTGTGCACCCCAGGGGCCACGGGGCCACCGGCCCGGTCACCGCCGCCGCCGGGCCGACCGTCTCGGCCGGTGAGGCGTACCTTGCACCTTGTGCCTTGCCTTAGACGTACCTTGCTCGGCGCGGCCCATCAGGGCGGCGATCGAGAAGTCGGTGGACCGCGGTTTGTTGAGCGCCTCCGCCATCTGCGTATCCAGCATTGGTGGGTCGCGGCGGGGCGGCGCGGGCCGAGGCCTCTCGCGAGGGCCGCGTCGGCGCCCGTCCGCTCAGCCTCCCTGCAACGACGGCCGAGTCAGCGCCGTCGCCGCCGACGGGGCCGGTTTTCCCGAGGCGGCCGGCGGCGGCCGGGGCCCAGCGCGCCGCATCGACCCCGCGGCGCGGCCAGTTTGTTTTGGGGCCGCTCAAAGAGCCGCCTGAATGACGGGACCGCTGCCGGAAGCGCCACGGGCGCAGCGATGCCGATCAAAGCCGGCCCCGGCCCGGCCGACAGGCATCAACGGCCGCTCGGGCGCCGGGCGCGGCCCGGTCAGGGGGCGGGCCGCAGGACGGCGGCCCCAGAGGCGGCGGCGGGCTGGTGGCCGGCGGTCGCGCGGCGCGCCGCCCGCGGCTCTCACCTGCGTCGACGGCGACGACGGGGGCGTCCGACCCCCACGACGGTCTGGCCTGCTCGCGACGCGCCGCCGAGTCGAGTCACCGCACGGTCGGCGGGTCGCTAAGTCGCTCCCGCCGAGTCAGCGGCGGCGTTGCTCCACGCGCGCGACGCCGGTGCCCGTGCGCCGTCGCTGCCGGTGGCCGTCGGTCGCGTGTCGTCGCGGTGACCGAGCCTCGTCGCTGCCGGCGCGCGGAGCGGTGTGGCCGGCGCGTCTGTCGCGGGGCCTCGACGTGCCGATGGAGGCCGCAAATCACCCGACAACGGAGGCGGCCGACTACCGGGCGACGGCGGCGAGCGCGGCGGCGGCTGTCGCCGGCCGGCCGGCCGACTCACCACTCGCCGCGCTCACAACGGGCGGCGGCAGGTGCGGATCCGGCCGCACCGGCGCACCGACGGACACCGCCCGCCCGCCCGGCCCGCCAGGGGAGGGGCAGCGGCGCTGAGGCGTACGCGGAGGCGCACAGATGCTGGGGAGGCGGTGTCCTCACTGTGTGGGATGTCGTGTGCTCGCACTGCATCTTACTGAAAATGTGTGCTGGGCAACTGAGCACAGAAAGAGACATATTTGCTTTTACGTATAAGATACAAAACACAAGGATGAAGATGGTATTAAGTTTTCACCGTTCGTTTTCACGTAAACGGTTTTTTTAGAGTGATCTGACGTTCTTGCGAAGAAGAAACGGTTTTCCAGCATACAGAATTTAGATCAAGAGTGCCATACCCAGCACGGAAGGTGTTGTTCATCCCAAAACCCGCAGCGAGATGGTGAAAGGCTCATAACCGAGAGACCGTGACGTGCCACCACTGGAGGCAGGCGGTAATCCTCAAAACGCGAGAGGAGAAGAGAGTGGGCCAGAATACCCTCCTTGAAGCATACAACCCTTGGACCCAAGCAGCGGAGCTTGAGGCTGACTGATGGTTCAACAGTCGGCGCCTCGCGAAACTGGGGCGTGTGAGCACTTGGGGCGCCTGTTGAGGCGCGAGACGCCGTCTGTATAGCCTAACGGGGCAGCGTCACCCAATCCATCTATGGCGTGAATCTTCACATACAGCGGCCAATCACGCTGTCTGGTCCTGGCAATGGTGTGAGCAGTGATAAACGCAGCGTACATAGTGCAACAACGCATGATGCGTAGATCAATGAATATCAGCGTAATGAATGACGACTTCGTAAAAAGGCTTACATCGTCTGGATGCAAGTTATCTGTGTTATGTTTTGACGCTCACAAAAGTTCTTCACCAACAGTAACTAAAGCGCTCCCAAGATCAGGCTGTTGCCAAAGAACCCAAGCAGCCCGAGCCACTTCCTCTTCCATGCGCACGGACGCGACCCTGATTAGAAAGCGGAACCCCGTACATTGGCAGCACAAACCCCGCCCCGCAATCTACAGCGGCCGCGTTCGGAAGGCGGGAACCACTCCAGAAATGGCGCGAATAAAACGCCAGCTGACGCCCGCCGTTCCAGATCGCTGCCCGGCGAGTCGTCTGCGGTTACTTTGCGGTCGTGCAGCGCCGAATCGGCGGCCAACTTGGACTTTAACGGCGAGAGCATGCCGGTTTGTGATTTCCATAACCGAAAATTTGTGGACAGTAATGATAGAGACGTCTAATGGCGGGCTGTCCGGGCCGGTGGCCTGGCGTGGCTCAGTCGGGCCCGCCAGGGGTCACGGGGAGCGTGTTCCCGGCGCCGAGATCGGCTCTGGCTTTGCAACCTCGAACGGGAGGCGAAATGCGTGTCGTGAGATGTGCATGCCCCGAGAGGTGTCGTGCAAGAAGCGCGCGCTGTGCGGACGGGACGGGACGAAAGTGCCTGTAAGGATGGCTCTGCGTTCCAGGGAATTTGAGGAGGAGGCTGCATTGACATCGTAGTGATGATGGACTTTCATGTTACTTCAGTGGGAGGAAACTGACGCGGGCTTCTTGGCATTGCAGTAACAAAAACAACTTGATGTCCTTCTTGAATCCTAAAACGCTGTATTTCCCAATCATGAATGACAATTAGTTTTGGGTTCATTTAGTTTCGGATTCATTCAGACCGTGCTACCTCGAGCAACGGTGGCGTACGTTTGCGAGGAGCCATGGCGGCATCACTCGAGTAACTGACTACTGGCCTGGACGACGAGTTGTCCACTCATTAATCTATGGATTGCACATGCATTACGGTATGTTTGCACTGCCGTTGGCCAGCCGATTTAGGCGGTGAACGTGTTTGATCGGTTGATTGGTTAATGTTTGGTGGAAGTGACGTCATGTACAGCATGATGCCCTGCGATTAAACGTTTGTTCTCAGACTGATATTTTCGGCACCTTCTGGGGCCGTGAATCACAGGGCGGTTACCAGCGACTCTATTCGGACTTCGCTCTTTCCTGGCTGCTATCGAACGCGAAACATCTCTTCGAAGCATCGATTAGAAAATATTAGGCATTCGGTTAATTAAATTAAAATCCCGTAGCGGCCGAGCCAGCCACCTAAGTACATTCTCTGAACTTATTCCAAAACTTCCCCTATTTTTGTATTGTAACAACTCATTTCACTTTCGTGTGTGGCATAATCCGAGCACAAATCGAGCAGCGCTGTCGACCAAGTCTCGTGCACGCCTCGCCGCGTCACGGTGCGGAGCAGGAGCGTATGATCCGGCCTGCTGTAACGCGTCATGCGGGCCAGAACAGAGCGAAACGAGCAGACCGTGGCGGAGCCGGCGTGAGCACCATCAAATGGTGGATGCGTCAATAAGAGTGTGTTAAATGTGCTTGATGATGAGGCAGACATGACTAGAACATGCTGACGCACGCGAATCACTGTAACCGGCTCCGAGCAAGGTCGCTGTGACGCGGGAGGACTGTAAGGAGTTTGATAGGTCACGTTCAGAAGACTGCAGCTTCGAGGTCTCACACTCTACTGAGCATTTGAATGGAAAGAAGCTCTGACGCGCTTATAATTGTTGCAGCCAATCGTTTCCAGCAACTGGATCTTTTACAAAGATATGGTAATGTTTTAACGATGAAGGACCACATATAACAAGGAGAATATGCCAGTTGTCCGGCGGGGTCATGGGCAAGATGCCGCAATGGTTCAGGGGTGATTAAGCAATTTCACAAAAAAAAACAGTCGAAAGCACCAGAGGCGCACACAATTTCTTGCATCGCGTAACAAAAGTATGTTCTCGATATGTTTGTTTTGCGCGTCTACCTTGACATTTTTTCATTATCTATTCACTATCTGCACTTTATTTGGAGATGGCTAACTTTTTGCTTACATTTCCAGCATTTGAACAGCACCGTAAGATTTTCAGCTATCTTTTAGGTCGTAAATTAAGTCCCTCCTCAGTGAAAGACGCGTCACACGTCAGACCTGCAGAGCCGCATGCGCGTCACTGAGATGCCAACGAGCGGTGGTCTTCCGTTAAGCTTTACACTGCTGGCAGGTCGACCAGGGGTTGTTACTTCCCAGCGCTCACGTTTGGTAGTTCATAATCAGTTGACAGAGAAAGGTACTTCTGCTCCGGTTTATTACTTACAAAAATCCTCATTTTCCATGCATGTTGAATTCGAACCACATAAGTGCAAGTGGACACCAGCAATTAGTAAGAAGCTCTTGTAATCCCATGGACCATTTGAAATGTAGAAGCTCCTTATCTGACAGCACAAAAAAAGAAGAAAAAAACGTCGGAACAAGTTTTGCTTTCTTTGCTGTACCCTGTACATGCGCTACGCTGAACTTTCAGTGAATGCTGCCAGGCAAAGGTTTGGACAAGCTAAAAGTCACGTGACCCAGGCCATGTCCGCAGCGCTAATCTGAACGTAAAACTGCAACGGTGCACATGAACAACATCTGTTCTCAGACAGCATTGGTCCGCTGAAATGGTAGGCACAGGCGAGCCATGACATACCACCGCTCCATCCACCCAACAAGCCCAAGCGCACGCTTTGGGCAGCTGGATCCGCACCTCCTCACGATCATTTCAGCAGATTAACTGCATAACATGAGGGAGGAGCCACGGCCCGCTATCTCCCGCCCCCGGTGGGAGGGGCGTAGCCCATCATCAAGCAATCACAAGTCAACGCGCCATTTATATAGATGTCGCCTCCATCAGCCGACTATAAACAAATCGTTAGTCCAGCGGAGCCGGCTGCTGGCGCTAGCCGCCGCCGCCGTTCCTGATGGCTGCCTTCCAGCGCTCGACGGAGCCGCCTTTGTGCGGCAGTCGTGGCGCTCCGGCCGCACCGCGCGCAAAGGCCTCTTTTTGTCGGCCTTATTGAATAGGTGCGGTGATGAATAGCCGCATAAGTCGGGTGCGGTATAAGCTCGAATAAAGAGCGCCATCCTGCTGATATAAATTTGGAGCCACGACTTTATTAAAATTCTTAAATTGGCCATCTGTCGGTGGCACGTCGGGTTTATGAAGGTGCGTCGGGTGCCACTTTTGTTCGCCGTGGGGAAGACGCCGGCGAGCGCGGTGATGGCGGGCGCTGGGCCATGAACGCACGTGCAGCCCACCTTATATTCCATTCACAGTGATTGAGTCTGTGCTGTCACATAGCAGGGAATCCCGTTCAGGCGATGTGTGTTTGTGGTGCATTCATTCACTTAATAATTTGGTATTCAG